GAACACATCAGCAGGGGCCATGCACATACTGTAATCCAAAGTTTTTATGAGTAATATTTCTTCTTGTTTTTAAAGATTTGGCTTACAAGAGTAGTGGGCAAGATCTAAAGAAGATTGCATTCAAGGAGCAAAGCTGGCTCGGGTTGATAACCATAGAAGTCGTAAGTTCGGATTTGTGTGTTGCTAGAAAAGATTTTATTCATCCTCGTATTAATTGTATGTGTATGTTTCCTGGAGATGCAACTTTATGGAGACATAAAGTCATAGATTACAACACTAGATAGATTACACTCACAAAATGCCGCCTTTCCGCGAAAATTAGAGCAGTTTTCAAGTGTATTCCAGCTTAAATGAGTTATTCAAGCAAAACAACCTTACGCCGAATTTCCGGCTTTTTAAGCTGCAAAAATCTTTTGCATGGCGTACCGTTCTTTTTGAATTATTTTGAATTCCCTTTTTCACTTGTTTCTTTATGGAAGCGATGAAACATTTTTGACATTTAAAAAATTACATTTCCAAGCCCATACATCAAACATTTATTTTGTTTTGACAACTCGTAGATTTATTGGCATGAGATGTAGAGAGGTCTTCGTCTCACGGATTTTCGGCATAGCGTGCACTGTGTTCAATTCAAACGCGGTGTACCTTAGGTACCTGAGTATAAAGAAGAAGTTGGACCGGTGGCAAGGATCGCTAACCATGCGGTACGTTAAGATCAACAGAACAGGGATGTTGAATAATTGGAGAGTAGGAGGAAGGCACTTTCCAGAAGGATGTATAGATGTCGCGAAAGAAACAGTACCAACTGTTTCTTGTAGATGGAGGTAGTAGTCTGGGTCCCCCCAACTAGGATAGCTCCCTAAAAGAGACATAATGCTTAAAACTGGCCAGGGCATCCCAATGCTTTACAACAGGACCAGGGCACATAAGGCATTACCTTTCTCAGGTGGACATAAAGTCTGTAACTAAGGCTTCCTTAATAACGGTTATTTTGTTATCTCGGGTGTTGGTATTAGTTCTTCAGATTCGTTGATGATATTTCAGGCGGCGATTGTGAACGAGATAACAGTAGCCTTTTATTCAATATTCTGGTTCAAGGACTAGCTCGTTAAATTTCTTCGATTTTATACTGCACTGTGTGTCCAGCAGGTTTTTCCGATCGTTCCTCAAATTCGTATGATCTTATTCCAGAATTGAACTTTACGCCTGTAGTGAGATCACGTGTTTCTTTTGTGAATAGTTCTCAGCGGATTACGCTCAGAAGCACTTGCTTGAGAAGCTGGAGAAGGAAATCAAGGCCCATCCTGAGAAATATTCGTCGAAAAATAAGGACAAGTCTGATACCGAAGATTGCATGTTGAATTCAGTGAATCTCGTCAAACTGATCAAGTCGGAGATCGCTTCTACAGACAAAGATTTGATCAAAGAGGCTTTAAGTCGCCGTTCTACCTCGGGTGAGTTAGGATTTATCCTCTTGATTTTGTTCGGGTTTTTATTTATTTATTTAATCATTTTTTCCTGAAGGTACTACGGCGTTGTTGGTGCTGCAGAATGAAGAGTTTCTGGTTGTCGGGAACGTTGGGGATTCCAGAGGTGTGATGTGTTGTAACAACAGTGACGGGTCTATGACTTCCATCCCGCTTTCCTACGACCACAAACCGGACCAAGTGAGTCATTTTTATTTTTTTTAACGCGATCATTTTAGGATTTATACTGTAAAAAAAAAATTGAACGTGGAGCCCCGAGTGTTGGAAAGTTTGTCGATATTTTTCTGAGTTCATTCGTCAGAATGAAGTACTTGGAATGAATCGTTGCTGAGAAAGATGAAAATCTGAGTTGAGACTCAATATTTGTTCACAGGGCTAAACCTCACCTAGTTGTACTTGAAGGTGCTCCAGAAAGTGACTGAAGTTGTTATTCAGGAATTTGAATCACATTTGGGTTATTCAAAAATAAATTATTTGCAGGCTCTACAGTATGTCCCACCTGCAGAAAGATACCCAATTCCTACTAGAGAGCACAAATGAAGTCCCTTGCATCCCTGTTTGTCTTCTTTTTCTTTGACAAACTTGCTCCACAATAAAATAAGGTTATTAAAAAAATAAGCCGAATTTTTAAAAATTCCCCCAGGTTTATTTTTTGAGGTAGATTAGAATTCAGATGCTGTGGCTTGCAATAGCTCCTATCCTCAAAAAAGTAAAATTCACGACATTAGAACGCAATTCCGAATGAGACGCAGAGGGACTAGAAAAATCTCATAATATCACTACACACTCCTGGTTATCTTAGAACAAGGTTGTTTATCATCATTGAAGCTACAGTGTGTAATTCTGCTGGACTCTCTGCACAACAATCTTGTCTTAATTATCTTTGTGAAGAGGGGTTTTTGTTGGTAAAATAGGGTTCTCTCATGTTTCAGGCGTTTACTACAACTAAATTCTCACTGGAGCGATTTTTTTCTGGTCCCTTAATTTCTTTGCATAGACGAGTCCATGTATCGGACAAGATGGTGTGGCTCTGGATGTTCAGTTGTCGCAATTTTCTAACTTGCGTTTTTTTTTGTTCTCTTACAGTTGAAAGAGAAGAAACGGATCGAAGAGGCTGGTGGATGGGTGCTTTTCAATGGGGTATGGCGGGTATTGGGTATCTTGGCGGTTTCCAGAGCCATGGGAGACACGCTTTTCAAGGACAGGAATTTGGTCATCAGTGACCCTGACGTGCTGTGCTTTCCCTTGCGGGGGTCCTCGGATCCCAAGTTCTATATTTTGGGTGAGTGTGTGAGATGGATGATGGTCTGATTTTAAGTTAGCCGTAATACATCTACTCTAGTAACAAATGCCCTTATGTTAGACGCGTAGCTGCAGTATTGAAAAAAATTAAATTCTTGATCTGGGCTTGCTTCCTGCTTTTCTTGTGACAATTCAGTTTCATAAATTAAAAACAAATTTCAACTGATAAAATGTGAACGTGCTGTATTTCGTTGGCTTCTCAGTTTAAATTGAACCAAGAGGCTCTACAGACAATGTCAGTGTGTTGAGTGTGCTACTGCCTGACTTGGGCAACAAGAAACGGGTTGTGGATCGACGCCAGTCTGTCAACAGTCCTTCGCTGGGAAGGAAACAGGTCCTTATGATTGGATAGTGTGATAATATCATGTTTGGTCATCAACCATAGCCATGATATGTTTTACTTGTTCAAGTTCTTTCCTAATAAATAAATTGCTGGTGAATTCCAGGAGAAATGATTTGCTTTTTGGGAAAATTCTTCTATTAAGAATGAAGTCACATATCCGTTTTTTTTAATTACAGTGAGCCAAACAAGTAGAGCCGAATGTCGGACCGTGCCAAATTATGCCAGACTTGGGTCCACCATCCTCCATCAAATTAAAGGGCAATACTGACGATGTCCTAATGGATCTTTCTGTCCCTTGAAAAAAATGCATTATTGTTAAATTAAGCATCATTTTACTACATTATTCCTTTAATGATCTTTTCAAGTATTGCCCTCACATACTGTATTTGAAAGGATGGTCGACCCAAAGTTCTGGCACAATTTGGCACACAATAGGTGCCATAAAACGGCGTCCAACATTCGGCACTACTTGTTTGGCTCACTGGTACCCCACCCAACCAAATTTAATTTACTTCATGCAAGAACAGTGAAACATTTAATTTGATTAATCTTTCAATTAAGACTTGAGAAATAAATTTGTTTGGAATATTATCTTAATATTACGAAATCAATAAATTTTATGATTTTAATATAACCAAAAATATTGGCTAAACTTACTTTCATGCTAATTATACTTGTCGCGTTCCTGCATCAGCCATGCAGCACATAATCGGCACATGCTGGCATCTGTAAAAGTCCACAATGCAGTTAAATTAGTCTTTCTAATTTTTTGCAAAGATATTATCAATTCTGGGAATCACGGCTATGATTAATTACCAAAACATTAATTTACTATTGCTTTAAGCATGTAAATTCAAAGTTGATTAAAATCAATTAGAAACTAGATCTAATTTTTGGTTTTTCATCCAACAGCGACCTGCAAGACGCGTCGTGTCCTTCGAGGAAATGGAGAGGCGTATGATGACTCTCGAAGGAAAGAGCAAACCGGAAAAGATTGAAGAAAAAGTGACGGAATCTTAAATTTGCAGGAATTTCTCTCTCTCTTTTTGGGCATAGCGAACCAGACGTTACCAGGAATAAGTGTGTGTCTCGAACTGCCATTATTTTGTAGCTACTTATGCGGAACAACAAGGTTGTGCGGAATGAAATCATTTACCTTATTACCATTGCTGCTTATTTCACAAGTTTTCAACTTACAAGGGAAATGACTGACTTGCTTTTTGATCGAATTCCAAAACCATTGTTCTCACACACATTGACTCTCAAAATATGATTCAAATCGATCAATAACCCAATTAATTGAAAATAAACACGTATCCGTCGACTCTACAGAGGTGGAGAATTTCCCTTTCAAGTGAGAACTGGCTCTGACTCATCTTGCCGAATATCTCTTTCTGACGAGCTTCCTGGGGATGTTGATGAAACATTAGACGCTAATCTCGGCAACGAAACAACGTGCGAAACTGCAAGCGAAATTGTGCAATAAAATAGCTTTCATCCGCCAAAATGGTGCAACAACTCAGCCAAGTGGAGATATTTTAAGAGGGGTTCATCACAGCACGAGAAAAAAAAACCGCCCCATAGGGGTGGCACTATCACAATTTGAATAACATGGGATGGTATTAGGGGGGAGGGGGGAGAAGAGATAATCACAATCACCATGTTTTTTTTCCTTCCCCTGGTGCACCTTAATCCGCTTTCAGCTTCCGATCAGCATCACCAGGCTCAAGTTCCTCACCAATCGGCTCCGGCAAAGCGGCCAAGTGAAACGTCAACAGGAAGCCCACGAGGTTGAACGCGGCTCCAAACGCTCCAGGACCACGGTCAGAATACGTCTGCACCACACTGGCAATCAACGGCGCCACGGTCCTCGCTGACGACGTCACGGTCGTGGTCAGACCAACCAGTGAGCCCAGCAACCCCGGAGGCGCCCTGGCTGCGGTCACTTCAGCCGAAGCTATTCTCGCGATGGAGTTGGAGGCGCAGAATGGGACCAGGCAGGCCACTGAAAGGCCCGCAGTCGGCGAGAAAGTGACTCCGATGAGTGAGATCAGAGAGACTAGGGAACTTAGACGCAGGCGCTGAACTGCTCCTCCCACCCAGTCTGCGACTAGTCCACTGAGAAAGCCTGTCCCCGCGCTCACTATCCCTTGGAAGGACATAATGTACCCTGAAAATACAGTAATACAGTACATTACACTTCACAGTGAGACACCAATTTGACATACGGACACTTATTTCCCCATAAAAAATTTAATAAAAATGGCTCAACATGAGGACACTGACTCAACATAGGGACATTTTGTGATGAAATTTCAAATACATTTCAGGCCAAATTATAAGAAACAGATATGTCCAACTCTAAAATTTATGTAAGAAAAGGTCTTGGGCATTTCTCTCATCAATTTACCATCCATTTAGCTAATTTATAAAAATTACCTCCAGCATACATGGACTTCCTTCTCTCTTTTTCACTTGAATTTTATTTTTTTTATAGAGAATGCCAACATTTCCATGTACTGTACAGAGGTATCAGTTTTCGATTCCCCAAATGTCCTTATTGTGTTGAAATATATTGATTGAACAGTTTAAATTGGGAGATCATTTTTATCATCATGGAATTCTGGTGAGTATATTTTGTACATAAAACACCAATCAACAATTATATGATGTAAATCTAAGGGAAAATGAGACTCAACTTAGGGACACACTTGATGCACCACTTATGTCTGCATCTTGGGGTCACACTGTAATTCACATTTTGCCACAGTGACAACATCAAGAAAATTCCCTAAAAACTAAAGGATGGGAATAATTTGCATTCTTATTTTGATCACTATCCCTAAAAAGTTATTCAGAACTATAGCAATCAAACTGATGAGGAATGTGATGGTGACACAGTGGAAACCTCTATACATTAAACTTCAAGGGAGAAGTGAAAAAACTTTTACTTCATGAGGCTTTGAGTTATGGAAACACAAATTTGTGTTGAGGGTAAGAAAGCATAATCTCAGGAAATTGTAATTGGTGATACTCCAGGCCTGAAATGCATTGACAGCACATTGAAGTTGGAGGCAAGGCCCAGTTAGTCTCACTTTATTTCTAAATCCACTTGAGTAAAATTTCTATAGCTTTCCTTTTCCCTGCGTCAATAAAATAAAATCAAAAATACCTCAGGGAAATTTGAGCTTTGGAGGTTAGAGGAGGAAAGCCTTTGATTTAGAGAGGTTTTCAATGCACTGTTTCTCAGAGAATTCACAAAGGAACTTGAAAAAATGTTGACATAGGGAGGTTTGAGTTTTTGAGGGTTAACTGTACATGCAACAATAAACAATACACTCATCTCAGACATAGCATGCTATGTTCTTACATGAATTGATAGCAATTTTTGAAAGGCTAAATATTTTTGAAATAGTGTTTATGTCATGAAGTAAATCCTGGTTATCAACTGAGGAAACTCAACCACAGTGAGATTTCAGACATGCAGCTACTCATTTCCTAATTAAGTTGAACATTTATTTGTTAAATTTTTCACTCTGAACTTGAATAGTTATTTTTTAATGTTTTCCACTTAATTTATCATAATTGCAATAATGCTCAACCTTAAAATGTGCAACAAATCAGGCATGAAAGGATTTTAACACACCAGGTTCTAAGTTGAACAGTTGAAGGTTATTTCCTTTTTCACTGACTCCCAAGACTAAAATGTACAAGCATTTAGGCAGGAAAGGATTCTAGCACACAGTGAAAGCTTAATATAAATCTCAAAATGCGATATCAAACTATCCTTCTTTGCATATCCATGGTACCACTAGACTAACTGCAAAAGGTCCTGAAACAAAAAGACAATTTGACTCGGAGATGCTCAGAAATTGAAAAATATAACCCCAAAATCTGGACAGTGACTCAAGATACAGACACTTTTCCAAATTTCAGGAAAAATTTAAAATCTTCATTTTTCTACATTTTTCATTTTTATCTTAGCCATTCACACTTGAAATTGCTGAAAATATATATATTTCCCTTTGAAATCACCAGTAAATTCTGCACACCTGTGCATCATTGAAATTTCGGAACATGGTACTCACCAATCATGGTTGAGTCCAGACCGTAGGTGTCTTCCAAAACTAGAGCAAAATTTGCTCTGTAAGTCAAGGCAGCCAAAGAGAGGAAGAACTGCACCAGCAACAGGTCATAGTAGTCCATCAGCTCCACAGGGGATTCAGCACCTTTTGCAAGGCCTCTTTTCTTCTTTAGTCCTTCAACTTCCTCTGGTTCATCATCCTCCAAAAATACCCAGTTGAGCACTGAAACAAAAGCACAACCATGCATTAAGATACAGTTCAAATCAAATATCTGCAAATTTTCATGCAAAAGTATGTCACATTACACTACAATTTTATTTAACTTGTGATTTATCAAAAATTGAAATTCTCAACATGCTACTGTACTGTATTTTAAAATATGTAAGTCTTCTTAAGAAATAATTATCCAATGGAAAATTAAAGTTGGCATTTCTCCTCAGAATGTTTCAGAAAAATTTCACCTGCTGAATAAAACATGTCAATTTTCATTCTGAGAAATCTTTCTTCAAGCCCAACTTTCTAATTTTTTGAAGACATTCCACTGAAGTTGCTTCATTGATTGGTTCTCAACTTAATTTTTTCAAAAAAGCAGAAAATTTCTAAATACCTGCCACAGTCTTTTAACAAAAATCCCAAGTCTGCAAAATTATATAAAACTTTGCTGGTCCACAGAATTTTTTTTGGGAAATTTGCCAGTCCATAGGTTCAGAAAGGTTGGGGCATTCTGTTCTAATGCATACACACAAGCTAAACTTCAGTAAAATTCTAAAAGCAAAAAGGGAAACTCTTGCAGACAAACACACAGTACTCACAAAAATTGAGCAGGAAGACAATAGCAGCAGTCAAGCTGATCCTGTAGAACCCTCTGGGCCCACTGGCCATGTGACCCCCCAAGGCGGATCCCAGGATGAACCCAAAATTCGAAAAGGCATTGAACCTGCCAAAAATGGCCGCCTTCTCACTCCTGGACACACTCTCACTCAAAATGGCTCTCAACAGAGTCTGACTATGCTTGAAGAGCCCAGCAGTTATTCTCCCCAGGAACAATGCAATCACAACCAACCACATGGGCAGTGTGTCATGGGTTTTATCAGCAAATGTCAGGATCATGTAGCTGAGTGAAGTGAGGAACAGGGCAGCCAGCAAGACCTTCTTCCTGCCATGGGTGTCACTCCAGTAACCAGCCACTGGACTTGAGAAGAACTGGACAGCTCCGTATGAGGAGCCCAAGAGACCAAGGGTCACAGGAGTGAGATCCATAGACTTGCCTTCTTTGACTATCCATGGTACCACTAGACTTACTGCAAAAAGGTCCTGAAACACAAAGACACATCTGTGAGACCCCAACACAGGGACAATTTGACTCAGGGATGCTCAGAAATTAAAAAAATCTAACCTCAACATCTGGACTCAAGATACCAACACTTATCCAAATTTCTGGAAGAATTTAAAATTTTCATTCTTATACATTTTTTATTTTTATTTGAGCCATTCATAAACCTGGGAATAAATAATAAATAATGATAATATAAATAATAAATAATAATAAATAAATAAATAATGTAAATAATAATGAATAAATAAATAAATAAATAAATTAATTAATAAATAAAATATAAATAAATATATATGTATATATTAATTTCCCTATAAATAATTGGGAAATGCTAATTTTGACTTGAAATTGTTAAACATATACTGTATATATATACTGTATTTCCCAGTAAAATCACCTCAATTCAGGATCAAAAACTGGCTAACTTTGTGCTTTTTCAGTTTTTCATGTGTGCTTCGTATAGCAAGACTTGTTCTTTCTTCTTGAGCCCATTCTGATGCCAAGAGATCAGATTCAGTGTGGTTTCCTTCTGCACAATTATATTCTGCATCTTAACATTGAGAAACATTATTTTATTCAATTTTTTCAAAGACTTTTTCTCAACATTTCATCTGCAGGAGAACCAATGAAAAATACTGTATTCTCAATGAAGTCAATGCAAAAACTAGGTCCAACATGTGGATGTTTCAACTCAGGTACAAAATTTCATGTACCAATTACATCCACATCTCGAAGTCCCACTTCATCATACATATACTGCACTGTGCCATCATTTATTCAATCAAAGGGGTCTAGTGACTCACCAGAAACCCTGCCACATAAGTGACAGTTCCCAATGAAACAGGCCTGAACCTAGCATGCAGTCTTGTGGAACAACTACACATGACACCATCAACTCACACATAAATATCTGAAAGTAAACAAGCAGTGATGAGCAGCTGGATCATAAACCAATTCTTTGGGGACAGCACTTTGGGCTGACTTGACTGTTAGTCTGCTTAAAAAAGGCATCCAACTTTCAAAAACTTCAGCTCTTTTATCTCAGAATCCATGAATCCTCACTGGTTAAAAACAAAATATACTCCTAGAATGAAAAGGTGAATTACACATCATCACAGTCAAAGGCCACATCCAAAGCTTTGCCAAACAATGGCAGCATTTTGGCAATCATCTTCCTGTCCTTCTCTGCCTCTTCCTTGAAAACTTCAGCAAGCATTTTAAATCCCCTGCTCACAACTTCATCACCAGCCAGCACTTCACTACAACAAAAAACTTCCTTCATACTTTTCAAAACATCTTTTGATGTTATGCAAATCTCGTTTGGGTTCTCCTGAAATATCTCAAAATCGGCGGTCATTTGCAACCACTGATCTTGAAGAGACTCCAGAGAAAATGTTTTCTTATTGAACTCGGCAGACAACTTCTGAACACAGTCCTCTGGGATTTGAATGTTCCTCGGCGAAGAAGTCACTCTGGCCAAGGGCTCGAGATACTTCACCAATGCCAGCTGTTCGGGCTTCGTGATTTCATAGCTCATTTTATCAGAGCTGGGACATGGAACATGAAGTAAAAGCACCGATGAATCAGAAAATGGAGATCATCATCAAAACACAGCAGATTTACCTCGATTTCTCAAAGGATACTGCTGGTGTGTCCAGCAGCAATTTCATGTCTTCGAAAAATTTGAACTTCGTCTTGTCTGCGGAACTTATGCCTTTTTTGGCAAGTTTTCGGTAAGACCGCATCAGGTTCTCCCACTTCTTCCTCAGCGATGGTGGGTCATAATCCTTCCTGAACAAGAAAAATAACTCACATTACCCTCTTTATGTCATACGCGAAAGTTTTCTAAAATTCAGAATTAAAATTTTCAGAATCCTAATTATTCCAACCAACTATGAAAAATGTTATATTAAACATAATAAATATTATAAATAAAATTGTTAATTGTCCTATCAACAATTTTAGTTATATTTATCATGCATAATTTAAAATTGTTAATTGGCGCAATACAAATAATTTCCTAATCATAAATAGTTTTTAATTGTCATGAATAATTTTTATTATTATAAATATATTTAGAATTTTTATAAATATTTCTTAGTCATTAGAAATAAATTTTCAAATACAGTTATAATTTTTTTCTATCATAGATAATTTTATTTTATTTTAATACATAATACTGTATTTTAATTGCTGTATAATATAAATAATTTCATAATTAATAAAAATAAGTTCGTGATAGATAAAAATAATTTCATAATTAATAAAAATAAGTTCGTTATTGATAAAAATAATTTAATTAATATCATAAATAATTTCCCATCAATTATGAAAAATAATTGGGAAATGCTAATTTTGACTTGAAAGATCTAACAAGGCTCAGGAAAACGAAAAAAGTAGAACATTTCTGAGTAATTTATTAGACAGGTTTATAACACTTTGTTGAGGGAATTCAGAAGGAAAATTTGACGAATGGAAGTTTGAGTTAACGATTCTGAAGCTAGGGATGTCACTAAATGTTTTTCCTTCTTTGACTTCCTGGAATTAATGTCCAAGTAAGAATGATCACAATTTATAGAACAATTATCAAGACACAATACAGGTGGACTCTCTGTGCGGAACGATTTTCTTTGTACTGTATAACGATTGCTTTGTGTTCTCTCCCCATGTTTCAAAAGTTCGCTACAACGGATTTTTTCTGATCTTATGAGTTTCGTTGTACAGAGAGAGAGAGAGAGAGAGAAAGAGAGAGAGAGAGAGAGAGAGAGAGAGAGAGAGAGTCTACTTATAAAAATTGACCACAAGATTTCTGATACTAAAAAAGTTTAAAAATCAAGCGCACTTGAACTTGCATCTCATTTGCAGAGTCCACAGCTCATATCGAGCACTTTTCTCCTTCTTCCCACACTTCATCCTCTCCTCCAAGTCGTCGACAGTCAAAACGGGTTCCACATCCACCCTCATGTTCTTGTTCCACGTCTTCACGAGTCCAATGAAAAACCGCGTCTCCTCATCAGTTAAAACATCAGCCAAATCCAAGGATCTCTCACGATCCTCTTCCTCCATTTTTTCTCGTCTTCCTGGGGTCACACTCTCTTCAAACAATACCACGCGAAACAGAAAGAAAAAATCCACGACGGCAACTGCTTGAAAGCAAAGAAAAAAGACGGAATTATAAACGCGATACGAGAACCCACCGAAAAAAAAAAAAATTTCTGGGATTCACGAATTTGGGATCAAGGGGAAACTGAAGAAAATTGTGTCTTTATATACCAAAATCAAAATTTTTTCACGAGGAAAAAAAATGCCCTTTTTTCTCATCTTTGAAAATAAGATTTTGGGGTGAATAATTCACGGCTAATCTAACCAAGTTATTTCCTAGAGGGAGCCACAAGTTCCCATCAATATAACAGACAATAATATAAATTTTTTCACTTGATTAAATCATGGCATTGGAAGGGCTTATCCAAGTGTTTAGAAAAGCTCATTCAATATTTTGTCTTGAGAAAGTAGTTTTCAGGATGGTTCACTTACTGCTGATCTGAAAGAGAATATAGATAAGAATACTTTCATAGAGGGAGCCACCAGATTCCCCTAGTTTTGAAATAATCTAATTCTGTTGCAGGTTAAATTCCTGGCATATCACAAAATTAAGGGTTTATGGACAAGCAGAAAAATATTTATTTTCTTTCGGAGGCAGGTTCCAGGGTTATTCATTTACTGTTAATTTTCAACAGAATAGGGACAAGATTAATTTCCTAGAGGGAGCCACAAGTCCCCAATTTCGACATAAATCTATATTTTTCCTGGAGATTTCAAAGATTCAAATTCAATTTTGAAGACCTAATAAAATTTCCCACACTAGAAAAAAAAAACCAAAAATATTTTTTTTTCTCTCCCTGGGAAAGGGACACTAGAAGTGGCCCGAATCGGGCCATGTCAATCCTTTCACATGGCCTACGCTTCCTTGTGATTACAAAATTACATGTTCATAAATCCCAAAATTTGTGAGAATATCCCTGTCTACACAACACAGGCATGTTCCGCACTTCTAAAAAAAACCATAAAAAATTCAAAACCTCATAATTTGAACACGGTTTCCATTTCGCACCCGCGGAAAAACACGCCAACGTGCTTTTCTTTTTTTTCCGGCAACCGGCTCCGAGATACAAGAAAAAAAGGAAAAAAAAAGTCCACTAAATTTCAATATCCGCTCGAACGGAGTTCCTATTTTTCTTTTCAAGTCACTCCATTTCAGCGAGTCCCGGGCGAACGAATCGTTGTCGTTGCCTCGGGTACCGCTTTTGCTGGTACTGGGGATCGCGATGATTTTGCTGGCCGAAACCAGCTGCTAGAATCCCCGTGTTGCGTCTGTTCTGCTGGGCACTCATATTCTGCTGGATCGGACTCGTGAGCAATTCATCGAGCGTCTGAAAACAAATCGAAACAACAATACAGTCGAACTTCAAGACAGCAGCAACAAAAATTGAGTTACGACGGTTTCAAGTTAGGAAAACAAGCAGTGGCTGAAAAAACTCAACTAAGGGAGGGAGGTTCGAGTTATTGAGGCTCAATTGCATTGATCATGACAAAAATAACGCATATTTTGAATTATAACACAGTTTCGGAAAAATTCCTTCCAGCCACACGCAAACTAAATACCCAGAGCAATTTTCAACTCATCATAGAAGAAAAAAAAGAAGACATAATTAGGAATGATCCACGGAAATTCCAATATTTCATGTTTTTTGGGGAGAATTCTTAAAATTATCAAGAAATCTTCCTGGAACTCATCTCCAATTTCTTTGAGAGAAAAATTGTCCCACTGAGGAAAAATGAGCAAACCAAAAATCTCAAGATTATTTTTCAAATTATCAAGCGATCTCCCCAAAACGTATCTCCGATTTCTAGGAGATAAAAAATGTCCCACTACAAATGGGTTCCCTTTCAAAATTAGATACTAAAGAGTGAACCTTTGACGCGTCAAAATTTTGAATAAAAACATGGAAGTAATTGTCGAAACGCAACAAAAATCCCCGAAAAAAAACAACGTGAAGTAAAACAAGACCAAACAAAAAAAAAAAAAACTAACCGTTTCAAACGTTTGCCCGATCTGCTGAAGTCCTTTCCTCAGCCTCTGGTACTCCGACACCAGCACCTGGTCGTTCATCTTCCCAAACACATCATCTAAAACTTCGATCTAAAAAAATAAATAAGCGTCAAAACTTAACTCTTGAGAAATACATCCCTTCCACAGTACATCCTTTTTTCTTCACGGAAAACAAGCAAACTCACACAGTCTTTCGTGACAGACGTTCTGGACAATCCAGTGGGATTATCCGCATTTGCAATCGCATTCAATACCGACAAAGCGTCTTCGTGTCTGTTTAGCAGCGCCAAAGTCATGATCTAACGAAGAAAATACAGTAATCTAATTAGAAAATAAAAACTACACAATCAAGATCACCATTGAGCGATTTTCACCAACAGAATCTAAATGATGAATGAAAAATTGTACAATATGATTATGTCCTATATTTCAACGAAAAATAAAAAATTAAAGCTCAAGCACCTCAATTATTCATGAAACATTATAGCTAAATTATTGCAATCATTAACGAAAACCTCATAGCTACGGTAAATTAATTTTTCGAGAAAAATTAAATTATCATATCTCAGTGAAAATTTTCTATCAATTCTGGAGTTACCTTGAGATTCCGAACAGTGACGTAATTGGGCTGCGGAGAAACTGCCAAAACCTCCGCCGCTTCCTGCAGCTTTTTCTGCTTCAGCCCAAGGCCAGCATTGAAGCAAACAGCTTTCCGCGTCAATTCGGCNTTCTGCTTCAGCCCAAGGCCAGCATTGAAGCAAACAGCTTTCCGCGTCAATTCGGCCCCGGATTCTTGAGCATTCCTCAATATCCTGGAAGAATAATCCCAACTCTCCGGCGTATTCTGAAAAAAAAAAGCGAACAGTTTCAAATGCAAAAGAAATACTAGGAAATATATTGTTACAAAAAAGTTACCATTGAGATCCGGGAAAATATTCTTCAGGCACACAATTTATCACATAGAAATGAATACATAAATTGTACCTATTTGACAGAGGCCTAAAAAACGAATTTGTCGTGAGCGATCATTTTTTTCAATAAGATTCTGCTGTATAACAGTCAAAGCTCTTCAGACAAGGGACAAAGAGAAGCTCGATTTGTTGAGATCCAACAAAAGAACTACTCCTTCAGAACACACTCCCAATTCCTTAAAATTAACGAACACCCAACTATCACGCAGAAATGACGAATGTGCACGGGAACACGGAATTGATTGACCAAAAAAAAATGTGTTTACCAGTTTGTAGCAGGCAGCAAGCGCTAAATTACAAGCACTCTTTGGAAACTTGTTGTTCTCAAACTGCTTGTCCAGGAGCTTGTCCATCACTTGCAAACACTCCTCGTAG